AATTATATATATATATATATATATATATATATAATTATATAAAAAGTTATATTGAATTATATTTATGCAAATTACAATCGATATATCGTAAGTATAATAATAGACAAAATAATTTTTAACGAGTTGTATAGTACTGTATAACAGATCGTATATCTAGTAATAGTATGTTAATTGGCAGAAAATGTATGTCACGTCGTCCTTTCTTGAATATCCGATTACGCAAACTTACAATGTTGCGATACATTCGAAGTAATATTTAGCAATAATCCATCACTTACAATAATCCAATGTGTCAATCTATCAATGCGAGATTAATCGTCTGAAAAATTAAGAAAATTAGTGATCCCTTTTGTAAAATTTATAGCCCCAAGACATATGTATCTTGTGCATATTTAACCTTTAGAAATTGATAAGTTGGTTTTTCGGGTCTAGATTTGTCTCAGCTTTTTCCTGAAAAATATTACAACTTAGTATAAATCAAAAATTTTTTATTTTAAAGACGAAAAAGTCAAACAGTGCATCTAATTTTTAAAGGTTAAATGTGCAAATTATATTAAAATTTAAAATACTTATTTATATATTTTGCTAAAATGTTAACACATTTTGAAAAATAATAATGATTATTTTGTTTAGTAATATTGAAAAGAAAAAAATTATTTTATGAAAATCTACATTGCATGGAAAATTTTATATGCTTTTACAATTTTGATAATTCAATCCGGAAACAAAGACCTTAATGAATCTTAATAAAGTCGATAATCGAAGAATGCTAATTATGCTGAATTAATAATTACAAAATGTAATAACATTTATTCAAGTTGTTATGAAATATTAATCGTTAAATCTCGATGATTCTGACTATATTTAAATACTATCATTTTATGATTGATAATAATTAAGAAGACCAGATTAATGCTTTTTTTGCAAAAAATGGATAACCGAATTGTAAAGAATTTATATTTATAAACACTGATGTAATCGATAAGAAATAGATCTAACTTAATGCCTACACGATTATAAACGATTCGAAAGTAAAAGCAGGAAATCATCATGTTAAAATTTCAATTGTGTTTCGAAAATTATATTTGAATATTTAAAAAAATATTAAACGATTAATTTAATATATGCACAAACAATTCAATAAAATAATATACTATATAATAATTAACTATGTGATATAATGAAGATATTACAATTTTTTCTCATTGCGATATAAATTGATACATACAATTTAGAAAATTTGCGAAAATTTAATTACAAAGACAAATATTCATGTATGATTAATACGAATTAATTATTTATATATTTTTCTTCTTTTTATATATTTATTACAAAAATGAAACTTATATTTCTTATATTTAGGTTTTAACAGTTATTACAGTAGCATATATGTGTGTTACATGCTATTGTTAAAGAAAAAGTGATGCTTTATAATTATAATTTTAGTTATTATTGTCACAACTTATAATTAAATTAACTACATTATTATAAACGTGAGAAATTCTATGTATAGACGATATATTATTCTCTTATTATCATCGTAACTAATAACATCCTGTTTTCTTTGATAAGATTAATCTATTATTCTCATATTAAAAATTATAATTAATAAGTAGGAAATTTCATATAATGAATTTATTCCGTAATCTATATATTCTTATATTATTAACATAAGAAAGTGTCTATAAATAAATATACAGAACAATTAATTTATTTTATTTTGTATGCTAATGATTTATGAACGTCACTAAAACGTCACTAAATTCCCTTTTTATTCTTTGTTATAGCAATCCACGTGCGTCACGGAACATGGCGGAAAAACAACGCCGCGACAATCTCAACGCGAATATATCGACGATGGCGACCCTCGTGCCAAGCGTTGCTGGAAGTTCGAGGAGAATGGACAAAATATCCATTCTTAGGTTGGCCACCGCTTTCCTGAGAACACGCTACAGTAAGTCGACCTTGGAACTTTTTTTCACACCTTCTCACGAAACATTTTCTTTATATTGAATTTCTATTAATTTCTGTTAATTATTTCTTGTTTATTATTGCTGTTATTTCATTTAGTATCGTTGTGATTTCATTTTATTTTAACAATTCTAAACATATAGTTACATGTTACCACTTAGTAACTTGTTTTTGCTTAGGATGACTAAGCTAAATTAATTGTTATTTATACAATGCCGTTTATATAGGCGTGAGAAACAAATATATTCACAACTCAGTCTTATGCATTTTTTACAGCGCTCGGAAGTGGCTCGATGAATTTTCTTCCTTCGCAGTTTAACGATCAATTCGATCTAGAACAATTTTTCGTTGACGTAAGTACAACGTTTATTTCTGATACGATTGAGACGATCAAAACTCTAGATTAATCTTTTTAAATTATAATAGCACCTGATTGACAGCGGAGGCTTTTTTCTCATAGTCACTGCAACAGGAAAAATCGTCTACGTCAGTCGACAAGTAGAGCAACATCTCGGCCATGTTCAGGTGAGTTTTCCTCATCATTTTCCTCATCATGTGATGCGAAGAATGATCTCCATTAACGTTACTGAAGACCGTAATTTTATTTTTTTCTTCGAGCTCTTTATTTTAATCAATTGCTTGAAGATCGCAGATATTTTGCCACTAGGGAAAAATGTATTTTAGAAAAATCCATAGTGTCAAGGAGATATCCTATTGGCTTTTGCATTTTATTTAAAAGTACAGAAAATCGAATAATTTATGATTTTGGAAACGCCAAAACTTTTGATATGAGTAAATATTAATTCCAAGAAAAATCGTGAAGTTCTTACTGTCATGATATTTCGGATATTCGAGAACCTTACATGTCGCATTATCGCGAACGAATTTAAGTTTTCTATGCTCCCAGCGCACGCAATGCTTGAAAATTCAATTGATCGCGAATATTAGAATTATTTTTACATTATCAACCGCGCGTGTTTCTTTAATATTCACCTAACTAACAGCTTCGAATAAAAATAGCATGTTACTAATATGATACCAATATAATTCATAATACTAATGAAAGAATAGCGCAAACACTTTTTCACGAAAGGCAAACGCGTTTTCAATACACGGTGAAATGAACTAATACGTTTTTTCGTGCATCAATGATAAATGATCCTATCATCGCCCGAGCGTTCGAGACGTTCGCTCTACAACTATTAATGGCAGCTATTTACTCGGCATCGGCATTTCGCGGAAACTTTCATCTCTTTAGCGCGACGGATTTCCCTTTTTCCTTCACAACGTGTTTATACGGCACATTTCGCGCCGGCGCTGAAAAGAAGATGAGCGGGTGAGAAAGGAGAGTATGGGGGAGGAGGGGGAGGGGGGATGGCAGCGATCGCGATCTCGCGGCTACAGCTGCAGCTTCAGCTGCAGCACCGACCTACCCCGTAGCGCGCGGAGTTAGGAATTATCGATCAAATGAATGCGTGCAACGCAAATATGCTCCCATGGCAACCAGCGTGCTCCTGTGCTCTCTGCTCCTTTTCGTTCGCTGTGAAACGTGCGCGCCCGCCAATATCCGCGCGCGTTTGTTTTGCGTATTTATACGCGCGGAATTACCCCATGCACAATTGCTCGCGAAAAGATCTCGCGCGTTTCGACGAAAAATTCGCCCGCAAAATGAAGCGTACGATGATCCCGCTTAGTAATTATTCACCGGATCCACGTGCGATTTTTCCCGGAAATTCACGTGTTTAACTTCACGCATATATATCTACCTAATGGATTCAGCGGGTTTCCGCAGAAATCCATTTTAATTCGGGAAACACGAAACCAAAATGTTAAGAAATTTCGTTTACGTTGTTTAACTAAACTTAAATGGATACGCATTTAAATGTATGTTGGATATTGCAAACATTATTATTTTGTATATAGTGTATGCGTAGTGGAAAACGTTTTACATGCAACAGTATAATGATTGTCTTGAATTAATAATTATATACATTTCATATATTTTTAATTTAATTAGAAAATGATATTTTATTTAATAAAATAGTGACATTGAGATATCGTTGTTAAGAAACCTAACTTAATTACACCAGTTATATAATATAGTGATACGTCTTTATTTGTAAAATTAGAAGAATTACGTGGGTTATTAAATGAGTCATTCGTAATGTCGTCTATATTTCTTTCTTTATATTAAGAAAACTGGTATCACGAATTGGTATCACGAAAAATTTGGCTTATCGGAGAATATTAATTTAGCAGACGTGATTAGGTAAATCGCTGCGAAAATTATTACGTAAAACAGGGCGTGTGATTAACCGCGGAGGCAAACTTAAGGATCAGGTAATGAACATTACGGAAATAATGCGCGTGTTCGTTTATATCTTGCGATAAAATCAGACCGGCTAACTATCCGCTGCAGATATTAAGCAAGTATTGTGCGCAAATAATTAGCGCGATCGATGTTGAGATATGATGTACGTATAACGAGAATCTCGCTTTGCTGCCTGCTGTGCTCCTTTGTCCCTGGCGTTGCGTCGTCATCCGACGAGATCGGCGTATCCGACCTTTCCGGACTATCGGATACGTCGTAATTATGCACGTGACGCTTCTCTCAGCAACAGAATAATCTTATTTCACTCAAAGCCCCGGCGCACTGAGAAGAAAACTCAAAAGAAACGAGCTGAGTTAATGTATTCTTCATCCGGAGAACTGCGCATTGCACTGAGAAAAAAATAAGAGAAAAACACAGAGGAAAAAATGTAAACAGTACGAGAAAACAGCTTATATTTTAATTTCGAGATTGACAATCGCAAAAATGCAGAAGGATATCATATACATTCAAAAATATATGCCATGTTTCAAAGACTCTCCGATACTCAAAGACGAGATCCGTTTAAAAGCGTTTTCAATTGCGAATGTTGTATTTCAAGGATTTGAAACGTTTGCAAGAAAAGAAATTTTCAATTCGAATCTCTCTTTGACATTTCGGTGTTCTCCTCATTGAAAAATCTGTCGTCTAAATTTAAGTCATTATTAATCTTGTTGGAAGATAAAATTTTGCCGTTCGTCGAGCATTTTACGAGACACTAAATAACTGGCCTCTCGCCTGGAAATCGAATCTACTATGAGATCGCCGGATAATAAAAATTTGAAAACAGTGGAAGTCATTAGCGTATACAGTCCTGTTAAGCGATATCTCATACGTCTACATTCACGAAGACGCTTCGATACAGATATTAAAATTTAATTACAATAAAATTCTTCGTCATTTGCGAGCACGATTAATAATGCGATTAATAATGCGATTAATTGTTTAAGCGAAAAAAGATTTACATGTTTTTTCAGGTATTGCGGAGAAATTGTGCACAGAACTTTGTTCGTTGGGTTCCTCATACAATTTCCTAAGGTTCCCGGATTCCCACGGTCACTTTCGGTCGCGCTTAACGAAACAATCCTTTTTCACAGCATATACAGCCTCGTGCGAGCACTAAGAATAGCTAAGCGACCAATTTTGGTGTTTTCGTTGGAGAAAATGGATTTGGGTTACGACCGGTGACGTAAGAGCCCCTCGGGGTCTTCGAGACAATACAGAGCGAATATTAGGCGGCGAAGTAAAAGATTATACCTGCGACCTGTAGCCGTATATAATTAATTAGAATGGTAGTTACGAGATTAGGAACAAAAAAGGAGTATAAACCGATTTGGCTTCTTTATGGCACATCGCGGCGTCGTTTTACAACTACTTTTACGTGTATATGTATTTTTCAATGACACATATAAATTAGAAATGTCCACACGCTTATAGCTATGTTTAACTTTTAACTTTGACTTTTTTCTTTTTATGATTGTGTAGAAAATTAGCTGTCAGTTCTAAACTCAATTTACGAGAAGCTATTTAACACGTGTTCGCGTAATTGTCGTTTCTTTTGAAAACAATAGGTAAAGCACGTCATCTATTTATTAATAAATTTTGCGAATTTATTTTCTTTTTTTATTTCGACCAGTCGCGCAAGAAGAAGATAATTCTTTGCCAGTTTTAAAAAATCACAAGATCTTCTGTTATTTATTTATTTATTAACTTCACTCTCTGACATTGCTGCCCGTCTGCGATGCATTCATATTGAATTGCATTGAGTTGTGGAAGATCATGTAAGATAAAGGACGCTAAAAGGATATTGGAATCTTAATCTGAAATCTGGAAGGATGACTCTTACGAGAGTCTTCCCGGAAATATTCTTTTCGAATCGATACTTTTTTAGTACGATTAGTCTCTTCGGGTTATTGCCCTTTCGTTTGCGTCCAAGGTTGCACGTGTTTACCGAGATTCTAGGAGAAACATACGCGACGATATTAGTCCTGAAACAAGGATAAATTTTCCACGACACTACGATGAACGTTCGCTCGATGAGACGCCAATCGTCCATGCAAAATTAATTGAAAATCCATAAAGATTTATCTCGAATTAGAGAACCTGTCGGAGACTTCAATGCTCGTTTCAAATTCTCGTTCCGATTTCACGAGGCTCGTAGTTCGCGATGGGGTAGCGGAGCGGCGCTCCGCCAACGTGCTTTATCGCTTCTCACCCCGTCGCCCCGTAATCCCGAAGTTTCCTCCCCGTTTCTCTACGAGAAGAAAACAACGGGGCGGACCGTGGTGGGATGGTCGAGGATAAAATGTAAAAAAATGTCTCCCGCGCTATATCGATCGCGCGCCGACGGCGTTCCCGATTCCGGCATAACGATAATTCGCCACTCTGCCGTAACGAACCGACTCTTGGAAGCTGGCCGAGCACTTCCCTCTCCTTGCTCTTGCTCTCTTTCTTTTTCTTTCGGTTTGTGTAAGAGATGAACTGACGGCAAGAATTGGAGAAGGAGAGAAAATAAGGAGAAGTAGGTAGAGGAAGGGTGGACGGGATGCGGGAGTTGTTTGCGCGAGTTGAGCGCGGATTTGCTCTCGTTTTTTAAGAAGGTACTCACAATCAGACTGTATTGTTCTCAAGGAGAAACCGCCTGCCGCGAAAACGAGCTCCGTCGCCGACGTGGTGTATCGCTAGTGTCGTCGTCGTCGTCGTCGTCGTCGTCGTCGTCGTCGTCGTCGTCGTCGTCGTCGTCGTCGTCGTCGTCGTCGTCGTCGTCGTCGTCGTCGTCGTCGTCGTCGTCGTCGTCGTCGTCGTCGTCGTCGTCGTCGTCGTCGTCGTCGTCGTCGTCGTCGTCGTCGTCGTCGTCGTCGTCGTCGTCGTCGTCGTCGTCGTCGTCGTCGTCGTCGTCGTCGTCGTCGTCGTCGTCGTCGTCGTCGTCGTCGTCGTCGTCGTCGTCGTCGTCGTCGTCGTCGTCGTCGTCGTCGTCGTCGTCGTCGTCGTCGTCGTCGTCGTCGTCGTCGTCCGCAAATTCATCGCGCAAATTGACAACGCGGCTTGTCAATTTAGGCACGGAATTTGTTTCATAATTTACCTTCGAGTATCGGATTCGCTTCCAAGATCTGTTGTTCGATCCATGAGTGTTTTCCGCTAATCGCTGCTAGATATTGCAAAATCAATTTCGTGCTTTCTGTCTTTCCCGCTCCGCTTTCGCCACTAAAATAGATTTGAATTTCTATTAAACAATAATATAAAGGAAGAAATTCTCGTACTGCAAGTCTTAATTTGAGTCTATACGCATGCATGCTCGACTTGCTTTCGATAACATAATCGTCTCCTCGAAGTATGATCTAAAAATTACTCTTTTCTTTATCACAACATTTATACATCTATAAATTAAATTTTGATAAATTAAGAAATATATCGATCATTCAAAGCGATAGGCCATCATCGAATAGCTATTCTATCGCGAATTATGCGTCATAAATCGTCTTTGATACACTCGCGACTTAACGCGACAAGTATATAAAAAGTAGACGATTCTCGATACCTAATTACTATGCACTGATCCTGGCCATATCGATTCATGTGCGCATAGCTGTTATCGCCGATAGCGAATATGTGCGGTGGCAGCTCCCCGATTTTACGATCCTTGTAAAGTTTGATTTGCTCCGCGGTATAAATAGGCAATATTTGATATGGATTGACGGCGACCAGGATGGAGCCCGTGTATGTCTGTAAGACATATTACGTCGTTACATTCGTGGATCGCCGGTTGCCGGTGGATCGGATTCATGCACATTTGCTTAACTAATCGCTTAATCGCATTTCATTTCATTGTGCCGAGGAACTTACGTAAATGAGATTCTCATTGTAGCGTATCAATAGATTTCGTAGAATGCCCGCTTCGTGGAGGTCTCCTAAACTGATCATATCTTCTACACCTTGCACCGAAGTAGCATGCATAGCTTTTATTCGTCTCTCCGGTGTTAGCCATTGTTCCTGCAATATCCTCATCAGTAAATTAATAGGAGATAGTTGAACCGCGGCAATTTTGTGACGCACTAGCGATTATTACCTTGTTGTCGTCGTCCTTTACTTGAATACGTCTTCCTTCTGCCGAGATGACTCGCGCTCCGATCGCGACGTCAAATTCCCGTCCTGAGATTGGTTCGATCCATATGTAATCCCCCTGCGCACATAGGATAAAGAGGCACACTTTTATTATTCTTCTTATTGCTAGTAGAGAAGACGGTAGAGAAGAGGAGTTTCTACTCGCCGTCTACTGTTACATGATATACGGGCGTGACCTAAATAATTGCCCGAGGTAGCGAACGTGTCGTCACACTTCCGTCGAATAGTTTGCGAGCGACGTTAATGAATATGAACTAGTAATTCGCGTTATTGAGTAATATCCATTCCTGGCGCTGATTTTTATCTCGTCCGGCTAATATGCAAAAATGAGAAGCGAGGATTGACCGTAAGATGACGTAAGAATTTCAGTCGCGAGTTGTGTGGAATTCGTATTAACGCAGACATTAGATCTAAATTGATTTTCTTATATGATATACCGTTGTAATAACAGTACAACGGCTTTGCCATTCGGCGTGGCGTGCGGCACGCGGCACGTGGCACGCGGCAAGGAGACGCTCCGTTGTAATTTTCTAATTGTTACCTTACCGCAAAATATGCGTTTTCTCAGATATACGACACGTGCATATTTGAGAGAATGGAAATTTCATGCGACATTAATAGAATTTATAGAATTCATCTATCGCTTCATTCTCTCTATTACATTTCCTGTGTTTCATGGATTGGAATCATGTAAATTATATTAAAGTTGTAAGTTGTGAAAAATTACGATACGGTGCGTTTATCAACATGCTAAAACAAAATGCTAAATGTTGTATTGAAAAGTTGCATAAAAAATCAATTTGCATAAAACAAGGGTATATGCATATTGTAAAATGTATTTTTTATAAATTCACACACATATTGATCAGACGTGATGAAAGATTGGACAAACGAACGAATGACCGCGACGGTGCGAAAGTAAAAAGTTGTTGGCTGAAAGAACGGAAGATGGATCGAAGCAGGCGATTCTTATTTCGGCAAGGCGAGGCGAGGCGAGGCAAAGAACGGATGGAGCTCTTCCGATGTTCCGGTGAAGTGAACAATCGGAACGTAAACGTGTATCAGGTGCGATCCCCCTGCGCACGCGCGCGCGCGCGCGTCTGTGTGTGTGTGTGTGTGTGTGTGTGTGTGTTGTGTGTGTGTGTGTGTGT